TACCTCGAGCTCACGGAGGATCAGGGCCGAGTTCGGCGATCGCTGCCAATGCCTCTGCCGGCGAATTCTTGCACCTGGCAACACCAACGTGAGGCTGACAGCTCCACTGCCGGCAGCGCCGCTCACGTGGACACGGACTCCGACGAGGGTCCGCCGACACTGTATGTTAGTAGCACCAACATTCGCAGTAACACCAGTTCTCCCATCCCTCAGGAGGCGAACTGGTCTGGCGGAAGACCCACCCAGTTTGCACCCACCGCAAGTCAGCGAAACACCAACCTGCGGGCGTCTCGTAGGCGGATTATTAACTAGAACATCCTCACTTCCCCGTGGTCCATTCCCAATCTTAATCTTTACAGTTGCTTGCATTCCACATCTCCTTACTCTCCCACCCCCTTTTTTTCTGCTTCCGAGGGAGAGTGATGCGCTCATAAGTAAAGAGTACATTGTTGACTCACATTTTCGTACTTTACTTTTGAAATGCCAAGCACAGGTAGTCGCTGCAAAAAGGCATCGTGTGACATTGATAGACTAGGATGCACTTAAAACGTAGCAGTTAGGAAGCAGGCTAGTTAAGAGTAGTGCGATTCCTGCATGATTTAATTACTAATTGGATTGACTGAAGCCCTTTAAGTCCTACTGTTAAAACGTCAGGCAAAATACGAACAAAAGCGAATATTATGGTCGGAACCAAACACTTGGATTCTTTAACATCGCAGAATTCAAACCCTGCGGTACTGGCAACAGGCGTACATGACAGGATCTGTTGGTAGCAACAGGCTCCCTGACAGCTTATTAACTGCAACCCGACCTCGCAAAACACAGATAAGGAATAGAAGCGCACAGCAGTATGAAATAGTACACAATTTCGATGCGCAGTAGCAAGGTCAGGGTTCCCTTCAACGATGTTGCCGTAAGCATCGTATAGGAAAGAAGAGGGCGGAAGGCTACCACAAATCACAGTCATGAGTAGATGGAAGCGTGAAGATTACCAGGTCAATTGCAGATTGACCACAGGGTCTAAGTGCCTTCATAGGTCTGGTCTCACCCACTATATCTATGTAGACTGCTTTACGAGAGCGCGAGCTCCGTGTTGCATGCGCTGAAACAAGTAATCGCCAAGTTGTTTTGAGGTAGACGGCATGACCGCTATCTAACAAAGGGTTTCACGATGGACACTCGAGCTGTTTTGCTTTCTTGTTTGATAAAACAATTAGGCAGATGCTCAGCAACCGTGACTGCCGATTGCCTTCGCGTTCGTCTAATGTGCTTTTACCCGCAAGTGCATGTAAATTCATACACGCAGGTTGGGGTTGTGTGCAACAACAAGGCACCATTTGTCCGGTTAATTGGAAGGCTTTTAGTTGGACCAATAAAAAAGTATTCAAGTGAGTTGTGCGCCCTTTCTATGATACAGCGCAAGCGTCGCTTGATTGTGTTCGAGGCGTTATTACCCCTAAACGGTAAAGTTATTATAACGGGTGCTTTCAGAACAGACCGTTCCGTCATTTTTGGCCGTAAAAGGCTGCTGTTCTTTTAAACGAAGCTGGCAGGATAACCGCGATTAAGTAAGGCTCCTTTCTTGCGAGCTTTTCTGTATCTAGGCTCTTAACAAGGCAAATATTTCCCATTTTTGAAAAAAAGGGGATGTACCTGACTTCATTTCTATTGTATTGACACGAAGCTTTTAAAAGGTGATGATTTCCCTTTTCACGTAATTGTTTGGAAAATAGTGGCCTGCCGAATCGTCATCCTCTGTAAACATGAGGACGTCTGGAGAGGGTAACTTGTAACACTGCTTCATTTCCATCGTGAATTTAACTGTCGAGTGTAAATGGTTCGTCACATTAAATAGGTCGGCGGCATCCTCCTTATTACCAACAATCGTGAGTATATCCTCTGCATATCTCTTGTATAATGCTGTCATGTTCAATTTTGACGAAACCTTTTCTTCTAGGTGACCCACAAATACATATGTGAATGTTGACCCGAAAGGACTACCCATAGCGACTCCTTCAATTTGTTTGTAGAGATTTCTGACTGACTAGTTACCCAGCCTTTGAAGGGCGATTGCTTTGGCTATGTGTCACCCTTCCCGACCCCAGGGTTTGTGAGCGTGTGTTACGCTATGGCTAGCAAATCATAGCGCCCGCAGCCTGACATGTGTTGGCAGTTTTCCAGTACTTGGTGTTTTGGTGGTAGATACCTTTGCGCTCGCGCCGGGTATACGAGTCTTCTGCATGGCTACCCATTCATGTACGTCTTTTCTGTTGTTGTCGTTGGTTAAAATCCCGGTCAATGGCTTGTTGTGAACTAGGGGGTGTGAAGTGGAGCGCCAAGGTGCGGGTTCGGCCGCTTCATCCAACTGCGCCCTGTTCGCCTGCGGTCTTTTTTACTCTGTCATGACAACGGGCCCAGGTGGGGAAAAGGAGCGAGTGCGGTGGTCACTTTGCAAGTCTTCTCTCACTATAAACTAATTCACGCGCAAGTCATCGTACCTGCTTTACCCTTCTGTGGTGCACATGGTGGACGTCGTCCAATGCTTAGATGGAAGTATTCCAGAGTTGCCCATTAAATAGAACTCGATCATCTTTGGTGCAAAGTATCAACAATCCACATTACATTTCGTGTTAAAGGCGGGTTCAAGACGTATGAGCGCATATAGCATCCATTGGTTCATCTAGTAGCACATCGGTAAATAGTGATTCGACGTCTGAGGAAATCATACCATTGTCGGCGATGTTTTAACGCCCAATTTCTATAACAAAAGGTACATTGTTGTATTACTCTTTAAGGTCGAGTGGGTAAAGTCTGCAGAGGTTTTCGCAGATGGCCAGAAGGATTTGAGATTCCTAAAGTAGAACGATTTGCTTACTTATCTGAAATTTTACACTGGGCATAAACGTGTACATTCATTACATCAAGTTCAACTGGATTTAAGTGTAACGCGCGTGTATGTCAACAAGACAGCTTCGGGTAAACCATTTCACCGTATTCTTCGACTATATGGAATTCACCACCTTTCGGCAAGTTTGCAAATACACCTGTACTTAAAGTACCGTATCATAGTTTTCAAGCCAATATACCCAAAAATTCTGAATACGCAGTGCAAAAAAATGTTGTAGAAGCAGAAGATGGTGTCAAATACTCTAGTCTGGATATGGCTCTATTCATCAGTCTTCAAATACCTTATATCGACTGTTATGTCAATATGTATGGATACCATGTATTGTCCTGTGCGCACTTCGACTATAACAATTACTTCGTTTTCTTTCTGACTGATTCGAGCTACAATCTGCTGGCATCTTAAAAAAAATAAACTTGCCTTCAGCAAACGTAGCTTGACAGCCTGCTAAGCAATTAACTCAATTGGATTTCCTCCCCAGTCAACTCACCCACAGAAAGTCATTTATCACTCCACACACAGTAATTTAGGACAAATCTGCAATTTCACTTCGTATAAAAATTGTCGAAGCTGTGTCCGCGTAACTTGGTGAAAAACAGATTCTTCATTTCGGTCGAATGTCCTCCACATACTGGGCGTCATCGAGAAACAGACGCTAACCATTTAAACGAAAACACAACTTTATGCCACATTGGCCGCCTGTCCTACGAAAGCGCCCACTACATTCTAGATGATTTTTTTCGTTACTTGCATAATAAAACAACATGTAAAAAAGGCATTAAACATGGATGGTTGGTACTTTACAAAAATAATTACTCGATGGGTTCTAGTTAATGAAGACCTATTTGACATAAGTGAAAAAGCATGAGAAAATCGATGGTCCTTATGAAAGCCCTTTTTGAAGGAAACGCTAAAAGCGATTATCATTTATGCAGGTGATTTACCTTACACTGATGAAGTTGTCATATGATCAAACAGTCAAAGGCATCACTACTCTTTAATGCAACTGTAATCAGGGCGGCATAAACTACAGATGGTTTTTTAAACAATCTACTTATTCACACATTTGAACCGGCGGATATAATATTGAATGACATTCTAAGTCCTCAACCATAGGGTAGTTTGACTGGCATAGGCGACTAGACTCACCGCTGCTTCATGAACTGGGACAAGTGATTACTTCACATAAACTCGCTTATAGTGAAGCATGCTTGTGATACATCTACCCCACTCACTCTTCCCTCATCCGCCACTAGCCCATGGCGAGGCCTGGCCACAAAAACCGGAGATGGATGTAGGCGCAGTGACTGAGAAGGTTAAATAGGCGGTTTACGCACGGTGTAGACAACTCGATTCCAAACCTTACGTGTAACAGGCTTTATTCAGTATGTCCAGCCTCACTTAAATGAAGGCTTCATATGCGATCATTTCAGAGGTGCGCATTGTGGACCGGGTCTCAGCGCTGAGGAAGGTTGACCTGTTCCGCCAAATGGTACCCTCCTAAGTCGCCATTGTTAGTACGTTGTGCTAGGTTCAGCTGCGTCAGATGCCTCATTGTAGGCAATTCCTTGGTTATCAGTAAGTACAGTAGATGGGTTAACTCATGAAATGCCGGCCAAATTTTCTAAATGTTTTCTCGTTTTAAAAAGAGTAGTTAAGTATGGTTGTAAAACTAAATATCATACATAAAAATACTATAATAATCCAGTTAATTCAGGCTGCCGGCTGTCGAAGTAATTTCTTTCCAACTTCATTCAAGAAGGATATCATGCAAAAATGATTACTTATATAGCACGCAATTTTCTCGTTGATTTTCAATGCCCATAAAAATTCAATTATATTTCATGGAAAACATGCCTAAAGATATTCATTCTCTTGCACATTCGGTAGAAAATGAAGTCCCATTTCAATTTTATACGCAAAGGAAGGGCCGAATTTGGTTTTAAAAAGTTTCTAATGTGCGATTTTAATACCGTGACATAGCCATTCATAGAAGGCCATGTCTTTGCATTTACTAATGTGGTTTGTAAAGTTAACAATATGGCTCAAATCCACTGTTAAAGTTTACGAACCCCATATAGTCTTCTCCTAATACCGTAGAGAACTGTGTGGTTTTCTATATGCAGAAAATATACGGCTTGTAGTTTGGGAACCCTGAATGCCAGTGCAACGGCAGATCGGGTTCAAAATTATTCGGGAATTGGGGAAGTTTTTTAAAACTGGATATCATCCTTCCTTTTAGTATACATTTAAAAGATGACGTCATATTCTACCGAAAAAGTGAAATAATGAATATTTCTATACATGTTTTCCATGACATATCATTGGACTTTTAAGGGCATCGAAAATCAATGAGAAAATTGCATGCTAATTAATTAGTCATTTTTCACAGAGTATAGTACTTGCA